TTGCTATCATTCCTCTTTGTTGTATAATAATCCTAGATTCCACCAGCAAGACTATTAAGAAATTGACTTATGTATAAATATCAGAATTAGCAAAATTCAAATTTAGGGTCCTTAGTTAAATGAGTTGTGATGTCTCCGTTTAACCTATTGCAAAAAGTACTGATTTAAATCTCAGTTTCTAGAGTCATCATCTGTAAATGTCCCTGATGATGTATTAAGCTTGTGAGAAGCCACAAGACATAATCTATTAAGATACATAATGCTTGTATTATTTTCTATGCTGAATAACAAATTACCACAAACTTAATGACTTAAAACAAAACATATTTATTATCTCACAGTTTTTGTGGACCAAGAGTCTACGTGCAACTCATCTGTATCTGGTGGCTCCTGTGCTTGAGGAGGCTGGAGTCAAAGAGCCAGCCAGGATGAGATTTCATTACAGGCTCAACTGGGGAAAGATCTGTTTCCCAGTTCCCTCTGGTTGTTTGTAGTGTTTATTTCCTTGTGGATATTTGTAGGATTTATGCAAGCTTGCTTCTTCAAAGTCAGCAAAGGAGAGAGACGGAGAGAGACAGAGAGAGAGTGCACGGGGAGAGAGAGCTAGTGCAACTCCAGCAAGATAAGCACTATATGTATTCAAGCACACTTAATCACACATTCCATTACCTTTGCCACAATCTACTGCTTATAAAGAAGTCAAAGGTCCCACCCACACACAAGGGGAAGGCATTACATAGAAGAGTGCCCACTGAAAGGTAAGACTCAAGTGGACCACCTTAAAGGCCACCATGGTGCTCAAGTGGGAAATTATTCTGAACATTTTATTTCTTTGCTGCCTAAATTGGAATATCTCTAGTTTGCCATATGATTCTTTTAACAAAATTAGAGAGATCAGCTGGAACGGCATATTATTGAAAGAATTTGTTCTGGTTTGCATAATTATGACCTACTAACTTGAGAATTATAGATAGTGCAACAGTTCTCTGAACCAAGTGGCACAGAAAATAGTACATAATGAAATAGAAAGATCCTTCACTGCTTGTCGTAGATTTTGATAATTTTATGCCACAAGAAATTAAGTAATAAATTGGTTAACTAATAATTATACTATTAAATTGCAAAATTAATTCAATGTAATTATTAATTGTCTTTGGAGGTAAGCACATGTATTTCCTTCATTATCGGATTATTTCTGTATTTTATAAATTAATTTAAAGCAAACTGTGTTGTTACTTAATGCCAGCATAAAACAATTTCTAAGACTCTTAATTAATTTTGAAATATTAGAGGTAATCAACAAGTAACATCGGTTACATTTAATGGAAGTAATAATAACATACCTGACCACTAAACTAGTGTAGGGAAAAATTGAAGTTAAAATTAATTAAGCTTTCTATGAGAAAATTAACTCGTCTCACATAAGCTTAATGTTATGCTTTTATTATATTCCGGTCTGAGATAAAAATCAAGGAGAAATAATGTAGTTGTCTTTCAAACAAAAATAAATAAAGTAATCTAACATGTCCAAGGATTTATCTTGATTTGAGATATTAACTGACTTAGGTCTGTATATTATTCTTTCACACAGGATTAGTATTAAAAGTCTTGAAATAGTTTTATAGGCTTTTACTGAAACTTTGTTACTACCTTTTTATGACTAGTAACTGCTAGCAGCTAGACTGAAAATATTTGCATTTCTCTGCTTCCTATCATAAACCTAGGAATTAGTCTATACCACGACACAGCTTGATTTGCTGAGGCAAAGTTTGGCTAGATGGTGCTAAATTTGCTGAAAACAGCAAGCACAATAAGAAAGGCACAAGAGGGCCGGGCGCGGTGGCTCAGGCCTGTAATCCCTGCACTTTGGGAGGGCGAGGCAGGCAGATCACGAGGTCAGGAGATCGAGACCATCCTGACCAACATGATGAAACCCTGCCTCTATTAAAATACACACAAAAATTTAGCTGGATGTGGTGGTACGTGCCTGTAGTCCCAGCTACTTGGGAGGCTGAGGCAGGGGAATCCCTTGGACCAGGAGGTGGAGGTTGCAGTGAGCCAATACCACGCCACTGCCCTCCAGCCTAGGTGACAGAGCGAGACTCTGTCTCAAAATACACACACACAAAAAGAAAAGAAAGGCATAAGAGGCCGGGCGCAGTGGCTCACACCTGTAATCCCAACACTTTGGGAGGCCGAGGCAGGCAGATCATGAGGTGAGGAGTTCGTGACCACCCTGGCCAACATGGTGAAACCCCATCTCTACTAAAGATACAAAAAATTAGCTGGGCGTGGTGGCACACCTATAATCCCAGCTACTTGGGAGGCTGAGGCAGGAGAATCACTTGAACCTGGGAGGCACAGGTTGCAGTGAGCCAAGATCATGCCATTGCACTCCAGCCTGGGCAACAGGGTGAGACTCCATCTCAAGAAAAAAAAAGAAAAGAAAAGAAAGAAAGGCATAAGAAAGGCATAAGTTCCTTCTCTCTTAAAGTCTCCCTCTAGTTCTCTTCATTAGAACATAACGGGAAACCATATGACAAGGAAAAACACATGGTTTTCTAGCCCCAGCTTCACAAACTGAGTATAAAGGTAGTGGAGGGTGATGTGGCCACACTGCTCAGACCAGCAGCTTGGAGTGTTATGAGCAGTCTCATCTGTAGTTCCTTCAGAGCTGAACTTGGCTGCTGAAAGCTGCTTCATTCAAGAACATGGCCATTCCTGGATAACTCATATCTGATGACTGTTCACCAGCTTATAAAGGTCTCACCATTTTGGCTTACTGTGAGACAACTGTGATGAGCTCTATACAACTCAGAGCTCCACAGGGCTGTAGGCAGAGTTTGATCATTTCTGTGTCATAATTATTGCGGCTCAACTTCTCCATCGTACCAGTCCTGCCTCCCACCCTTCCTTCTACCAGCGTTTCTAATATGCCCTGCTTGTTACATTCAGTCTCAGTGTCTGCTTCTGGAGCACCCAACCTGGGGAAGGCAGGTGTAGAGCCGAGACAATAGCTTAGTAAGCAGTAGCATCCACCTCTTTGGCTAGTCAGTATCCCATCTAAATATATCCAAAGTTCTATATGGCAGTAACAAATGTATACTTTCAACCAACAATTTCTCCTAATAATTATTCTTTGAACACATTAAGACATATTCACCCTCTCCTCCTAAGGGGGAGACCCAAAGTCCCAGGTCATTTCGCTCATTGCTAGATGATAGTCACAAGGTATGTGTCTGGAAGGTGTGAATTATTCCCCAAATTCAGTAACAGTCCCACCTGAATGTTCTGAAACTAAACACAAAATTATAATGTTAACCACTAGAACAACTCTATTTATGATAATAAATGGCAGAAGGGAGAGAAAAGAAATATCATATTCATTAATAAAAACAAAAGTATATACATAATACTACAAGAAACTATTCATAACTGATACTGCCTTCATTCCTATAACTAATCATGAGTCTCTAAATGAGATGAATAATTTCAATTTCTACTTCTATTTCCATCTGCACTACCCATTCCATGATTTCTTTACCTCAGTGGGGACCTCAGCTTTTCCTAAGATTCTTTATCTTGTGAAGTGACTCAAACCTTCATTTTCGAACTGTCTTATTCCACAATGATTATGCCTTTTCTTATTGCTACATGACAAGAAGTAGCAAAAGGCACCCACCCCAGAGAATGCATAGGTCCTCTATTCTATTACACATTACTTAAAAGCAGCCCAATTTCTCCTTGGTAATTAGGATCAGTCACCTCAACCAGTATGTTAACGCTCTTCTTTATATATTGGCTCAATGTCATGTGGAGAACCAAATGGCTAGGAAGCAGTCTCAACTTCCAAATCAGTGGAATCCCTGTTGGATTCCTTGATGGAAATATTCCTCTCTTGGCAAGTAGGACCTGCAAATCAACAGCTTTCAAAGCTGTGGAAACAGAAACCAAAAAATTCTGTGAATAGGTTGTTAGGGAGATTAATAAGGGTCAACCCTTCCATTTCCCTTTCTTGATTTCCAGAACCTCATATTCTGGCTATGGGGGAAATAAATTGGTCACTTTTAAGACAAGAACAAATCTTCTCTGTAGACTCATAAAGCCCCATGTGTTGGTTACTCTCTTTACCATTGTTGTAGCTACCAAGGTGCTTACACAGACAAGAAGGCATCTTCAGAAAGCGGTTTGAAAATGAGTGCTTTAGGAGTTTTGTAAATTGCACTCTACATGACAGAAACCATTGTTTCAAAGTACTGTTTCCCAACTTTTGTCATAATGGTGTCTTAAATGACTATTCTACTAAACTACCAGTTCAGCCAGCAAAATAGTAATGTAATTAGCATAGTCCTATCCCCAGCTTTATAAGGCAGAATATAAAAGAGTGGGTCTAAAGCCAAGAAATAGCATATTGACCAGCAAAACACCCCTGCAGGAAGGATTCGTGCGTACCTTACATGTCTGTAGATTACAAGTAGGGTTTGAACTTATTCTAAGTGTTATGATATTAGAAAGTTTTAAGTAGAGCAATGACACAATTTGGTTTCCCTTTTGAAATGCTACCTGGGCTACTCTGTGGGCAAGAGCTGCTCTCTTTGGATGTGTTACATAAGATGGAGAAAGTTAAAGATATTGTGAGGCAATTATCGCTGTGATGGTTAATATTGAGTGTCAACTTGATCGGATTGGAGGATGAAAAGTATTAATCCTGGGTGTGTCTGTGAGGGTGTTGCTAAAGGAGATTAACGTTTGAGTCAGTGGATTGGGAGAGGCAGACTCATTCTCAATCTAGGTGGGCGTCATCTAATCAGCTGTCAACGCGGCTAGAATAAAGCAGGCAGAAGAAAGTGGAATGAGCAGACATGCTGTCTTCCAGTCTTCATCTTGCTTTCTGTGCTGGATGCTTCCTGCTCTCAAACATCAGACTCTTAAGTTCTTCAGGTTTTGGACTCTTGGACCTACACCAGTGATTTGCCAGGGGCTCTCCGGACTTCAGCCACAGACTGAAGGCTGCACTGTCAGCTTCCCTACTTTTGAGGTTTTGGGACTCGGACTGGCTTCCTTGCTCCTCAGCGTGCAGATGACCTACTATGGGACTTCACTTTGTGATCATGTGAGTCAGTACTCCTTAATAAGCTCCCCTTCATATATACATTCATCCTATTAGTTCTGTCCCTCTAGAGAACCCTGACTAACATATTAGCCATCCAAGAGAAGATTATGAATAGGCAGTAGGATGACCTGGTGCTCAGTAAAGTGGCCTGCATTACTCATATAAATTTGAAAGTCATCAACATATTGAGACTATATATGTAGTATGATTTAAGCCAGAGAATGGTTAAGATCACCCAGGGAAAAAGTGTAGCTAGACAAATCGAATGACATAAAGATTAGGTAATGGAGCTTTCCAATCTTTTTTTCTTTTTTTTGAGACGGAGTCTCGCTCTGTCGCCCAGGCTGGAGTGCAGTGGCCGGATCTCAGCTCACTGCAAGCTCCGCCTCCCGGGTTCGGGCCATTCTCCTGTCTCAGCCTCCTGAGTAGCTGGGACTACAGGCGCCCGCCACCTCCCCCGGCTAGTTTTTTGTATTTTTTAGTAGAGACGGGGTTTCACCGTGTTAGCCAGGATGGTCTCGATCTCCTGACCTAGTGATCCGCCCGTCTCGGCCTCCCAAAGTGCTGGGATTACAGGCTTGAGCCACCGCGCCCGGCCTCCAATCTTTTTAAGTCAGGTAGGAATGTACACTTCTTGGGAGTCTGATTAGGTAAAGACTCTGGAGGCTAATTGTTCTAGAACATTGTTTTCAAATACTTATTTTTAAAACTTGCCTAACATAAAATCTGGTAAGAATAGATTGTCTCTGGATTAAGTTGTGGGCAGTGGGCTCAGTTGTGGGCTCAGTTTCCCATCTATGTGACACTTCTCAATGTTAACTATGGCTCTGAGGCACTCATGTAGACTTGCAGCCACCTGCAGAAAACAGTTTGAAAATTCTTGTTGTAACAGGCAACTAAAAGTTTAAGTTTGACCCTTTGTGTAGACTGGACACCTGCCTCCAACAATGTGGATGTTGAGGCCCAGTAATCATTACAGAGTTAATTAACACTTCTGAAATGTCTGTACAATGGAAGGCTCAAATTTATTCACTGTAAGGGTCTTTTACCTGCTCTGCCCAACTTTTCTCCCTGAATTATTCCAAACAAGTACATTGTCAGGACTCAGATAAGAAGCAAAATCTTAGGCAATGGAATTTTCTTCCAAGTGTCAATGAAACAGTGTATCAAAATTCCAGGCTATAGTTTCTTTTTTTTTATCTATAGTATATTTTGACAAATTCTATTGATCATCATAAAATACCTTTTCCTGAGAGCCTCTCCAAAGAATTAAGTATGTCTGAAGCAGTGCCCAAGATTTGGTATTTTCAAAAACTTCACTGATGATTCTGGAGATCAGCCACATTTGGGACCATTTGAGTGTCACTAAGAGGAATCTTAATGATAGTAAATGCATAGCAGTGCCTCACAGCTGAATTATCTGGTAAGTGAAGGGTTTTGGTATATGGTCATAACAAAGAAAATGTCACGATTATTTTACAGTGTGAAATTTTGTATCAGATGAACAACCGAAGAGACCGTTTAATTAATAGTAATGCTTAACTAACTGATCATCACCATACCCAGAAGAAGGCCCATTGCACTTAGTAGATGTGTCAATCTTCATCTAGAGCAGCTTGGTTGTCTGTGATGACTGCCCACCTGACGAGCCAGCCAACTACTATGAACGTTAGAATGTTTTACGGACATCCTTTGCTGGAGGCATCCAGGACCCAGAAGACTATCTGACATCTGGACATCAGAGTGGGAAATTGTCAAGGGCTTTCAGTTTGGTCACTGTGACATGATTCCTTTCATGATCCATGTCATTTCCCTTTTATTGCCCAGACAATTCAGCTGCAAGGTTTTGTAATGAACAAACTCTCATTAATGTCTTTCTTATGGAAATTTAGAGAACAAGGATATTTGTTAAGTGGTATTTAGATGCAATTTTCCCCCAGTTGGCAATTCCGCTAAATAAATAAATGTGTTCTACAAACAAGTGGTGGATGTATATGCATTTGTTATTGCTTAAATAAAACAGGTGTGTGTTAAGCACTTAATCATATTTTTACCACAAGTAAGTTTATACTTTCTGGGAGAATATAGTTTATAGAATCTTGTCTATTATTTTGATTGTTTATGAATATAAGAATTATCATGAAAGTCTTTATACACTAATACCTTTGGTAGAATAGTTGATACCCCTTTCAAATCCTCATGTAATAAGAGAGGGGTAATAAAAGATTTTGTAATACCTCCTAGAGTCATATGCAGTCAGTGAGGGATCAGAGTTACAATGCAAAGCATTATTATATGTGTAGAGCACCTACTGGAAACAATCCCCCACATCACACAAAATGTTAATGCCCCATACTCAAAATTGCTGTGAAATGGTGAGAAACATTTATATTATGAAGAACCGTGGATCTTATTCATACCAATACAGAATCAAACAGAGCAGACTAACTCTTTCCCCTTCCTCTATGTTGGGACAGATGCTTTTAGGAATAGTAAATCAGGAATTTGACTGTAAAATAACAAGAATACAATAACAACAAAATAACCACCAATAGTGGCATTCATCATTATAATGAACATTATTGTAGCTCCTGCTTAATAAGAATCTATAAAACATGAGGCAGAGTGTTAACACATTCTCTTTAAATTTTAATTACATATAATCATCTCAATGGTTCCATAAAGAAGATATTATCATCCCTGTTTAACAAATGGAACACTGGGAAAATAAGTAGTTTGCCTAAGGCAATGCAGCTAGAAAGTGATGGAGTTAGGATCCTAACCCAAGCTTTTCTTAAACTGGATTAGACTTGAAGATGACTTTGGTTTGGCTGGTACAGCACTGCAATGGACTTTTATTTTCATGTGTTTAGGGAACTATTCTACCATCTTCGTGTTCCATTGCTCCTCCTTGACTGCCTTGTTTCATGCTAAGTGCATATTTTACAGTGTTCATTTTCATTCCTTTGCTCAATTTTTGGCTCATGTATTAACTATATATTTCCAAATTATTTTCTCAGTAGTTGCTGTAAGGATTAAAATGTGCATCTTATCATAATCTACTTCAGAATAATGCATTAATTCCACTAGAATATATAACTGCAGCATCATTCCCTCCTCTATTCTATATGCTATTATTGTCACATGTAGGACATCTATATTTAAGTTCAGGCTGGGTACAGTGACTCATGTCTGTAATTCCAGCACTTTACGAGGTCAAGAGGATCGCTTATGTTCAAGAGTTCAAGACTATCCTGGGCAACATAGTGATACCCTTTCTCTTCAAAAATTAAAAAAATAAGCTGGGCATGGTAGCACGTATCTGTAGTCCCAGTAACTATGAAAGTTGAGGCAGAAGGATTGCTTGAGCCCAGGAGTTCCAGGTTGTAGTGAGTTGATATTGCACCATTGCAGAGTGTGGATTTGTCTCAAAATAAATAAATAAATAAGTCCAGTAACACAGGGCCATAATGATCATTTTATGCAATTTCACATTTTAAAGGTAGTTTAAAGAAAAAATGAAAAACACATTTATATAGTTTTTTATATTTGCATCCAAGTTTACTGTTTAGGGTATTCTTTATTTCCCTCTGCATGTTTTAGTTACCAGCTAGAATTGTTCCCTTTCAATCTGAAGGTCTCCTTTTAGTACATTTTTTAAGGTGTGTCCCTAGCAACAGATCCTTCTAGTTCTGTTTTTCTGGGAATATCTTCATTTGCTTTCATTAAAAACAAAATTATGGAGGTGTATTTTGCTTATCATATAATTCAACCATTATAATTGCACAACATATAGTATTTAATGTAAACCTACATTATTATACAATTATTACCGTAAAACAATTTTAGAACATTTTCACCTCCCCAATAAGATCTATTGTGTTCCTTAATTACCTCACCTCTCAACCCAAGCTAAACACTAATTTGCTCTCCATCTCCATAGAAATTCATCTACACATTTTATGAAAATGGAATTCTACAACTGTCCTCTGTCTTCTCCACCAAGCACAATGCTTGTGAGCTTTATCTGTGTTATATACACACCAACAATTTGTTTCGCACCCTGCGGGGAATTAGCATTGCAGAGATACCCATACTCTGTCCATCAACCCACCAGTCAACGACAGCTAGGATTAGGATCCCTTCTCACCATTAACAATGCTATTGAGAACATTTGTACACAAATCTTTATGTTGGTGTATATTTTAATTTCTCCTGACTAAACACACCCAGGAATGACATTGCTGGGTTATATGATAAATTTTATTTTTAGCTCTCTACGAAAAATGTCAAACAAATTTCTAAAGTGTGCATGTCTGTCCACTTTTCCATCAGAAGTGCATGAAGATTTTCACTTCTCCACATCCCCACAAATAGTTGTGATAATTTTTTTTTAATTCATGTCATTCACGTGAGTACAAAATAGTATTCTGGTGTGGTTCCAACTTGCACATTCCCAATGACTAATAAAGATGAGCATATTTTCACATGCCCATTAGCTACTCATCTATCTGCTTTGGTGATATGTCTATACAAATTCACTGCCCAGTTTTTATTGGGCTGTTTCCCCATTTTGAAATGTCTTGAAGCTTATTTTGAAGTGTTTCTTTGTATATTCTGGATGTGAATATTTTATCAGATATGAATTTTACAAAATTTCTTTTTCCAGCCTGTTCCTTAATTTTTTGTTTTGTTAGCAGTGTCTTTTGAAGGGCAAAAGTGTTGACATTTTATAAGATTCAATATATTTATTTTTATGACCCAGGCGTTTAGATTTATATCTAAAAAATATCTGCCTAATGTAAAACGTTGAAGATTTTCTCCTATATTGCCTTCTAAATGTAATATCATTTATTTTTAAGTCTATGATCCATTCTGAGTTAATTTTTATACAAGGGTCTTTTTCCATATGGCATCCAGTTGTTCCATCACCCTTTATTAAATTGGTGTCATTCTGGAAGGATATTTTTGTTGAGTAGAGAAGTCTTGATTGACAGATTGCTTAGGTTCATTAGGCTGCTATAACAAAAATATCAGAGCGGAAAACATCAACAACAAACACTTAGTTCTTACAGTTCTGGAGGCTGATAAGTCTAAGGTCAAAACACCAGCATATTTGGTGCCTGGTGAGGGCTCCCTACCTGGTTCATAAACAACCCTCTTCTCACTGTGTCCTCACAGGGCAGTAGGGCTGAAAGAGCTCTCTGGGGTCTCTTTTATAAGGGAACCAATCCCATTTACAAGGGTTTCACTTTAATGACATAATCCCCTCCTAAAGATCCCACCTCTTTATAGAATTTCAACATATGAATTTTGGAGGCACACAAATATTCAGTCCATAACACAGGTTATAATAATTTTCTCTTGTTGATGTAACAAATCACCACAAATTTAGTGATTTAAGCTACATAAATGCATTATCTTACAGTTGCATAGGTAAGAAGTTTCATACAGGTCTCACTGGCCTAAAATCAAGGTTGTCAGCAGGGCCAAGTTCCTTCTGTAGACTCCAGCAAAGAATCTATTTTTATGCCCACTCCAGCTCCTAGAGCGCTTGGCTCATTTTCCCCTTTCTCCATCTTCTGAGTCAAAACTGCCAGGTGACTTTTTCCAAGACCACATTGTTCTGATATTAATTTCTGTCATCTTTTCCTTTTTTTTGAGACAGAGTCTCACTCTGTTGTCCAGGCTAGAGTGCAGTGGCATGATTGGCTCACCATAACCTTCACCTCCCAGGTTCAAACGATTCTCCTGCCTCAGCCTCCCAAGTAGCTGGGACTATAGGCACATGCCACCATGCCCAGCTAATTTTTGTATTTTTATCAGAGACAAGGTTTCACTATGTTGTCCAGGATGGTCTTGAACTCCTGACCTCGTAATCTGCCCATCTCGCCCTCCCAAAGTGCTGAGATTACAGGCATGAGCCACCACACCTGGCCATCTTTTCCACTTTTAAGGACCTTTATGGTTACATGAGCTCACTGTTTATATCCAAGATAATTTCACTATTTTAAGGCCAGTTGATAAACTTAATTTCATTTGTAGTTTCAGTTCTGTTTCTCCATGTGACATTATATATAAGGATCCAAGGATTAGAATATGCACATTAGAGATAATCAAACATGCACAGATTTTTTTTCTTTCAGCACTTTGATTATGTCATGTCACCGGCTTTTGACCTCCACTGTTACTGATGAGAAATCAGGCACTAATCATATTGATGCTTGCCTGTATGTTGTGAGACTGTTTTTTTTTTTCCTTGCTACTTTCAAAGTTTTCTGTTAGTCTTTGGATTTCAACAGAATGATTGTAATATATCTAAGTGTACATGTCTTTGCATATAATCTACCTTGGTTTCTCAATGCTTTGTGGATTTGTAAATTGATGCTTCCATGAGCTTTGGAAAGTCTTAATCCATTATGCCTCAATTTTTTTTTCATTCTCTTTTCTTTTGAGTATCTCATTATACATGTGTTGGCAAGTTTGATGTTATCTCAAAGATCTTTGAGACTCTGTTTATTGTTCTTTAATAGTTTTCGTTAGTTCTTTTGACTGAATAATTTTACTCTTTTCTTTCCCCAAATCAAAGCTGCACTGAATTCCTCTAGTGAATATTTTATTTTGGTTATTATAATTTTCAAATCTGACATTTTCATTTTTTCTTTTACATAATGTTTATCTGCTACTTGTGAATCTCTATTATTTTGTTTTTCTTTAATTCTTTGAGCATGATTCTTTTATTTCTTTGAACATTTTTAAAACAGCCATTTTAAGCTCTTTTTCTACTAAATCTAATATATTTAAATAGAATATTAAAATGTAGTTTATATTGACTTTTTCTACTTTCTCATGCAGTGTAAAAATTTTTTTTAATTGATTTTTTTCTTTTTATATTGGTCACACTTTTTTTTTTTAAATCTCTTTTTGGTTTTGTTGAAAACTAGATATTTTAAACATTATACTCTTGCAATTCCAGTT